CTTCTTGTTATAACTGAGGCTGCCCAATAGGTGGGAATGGGGGTTGGGGGGTCCTTTAATCCTTCTGTCTGACCACCTCCAACTTTGCTTCAAAATATCTCCAGAATGCCCCAGAATGTTCTAATGAAGAAACATTAGAGAAGGTCAAGAGAGAAAAACTCCAGTTATAAAATAAGTCACAGGGATGTGATTACAGCATAGGGACTACAATAAATATATTGATAATATTGTATGGCAAATTTGAAAAAAGGTAAGAAATTAACATATACATACATACTATGGTGAGCATTTTTAAAAGAAAACTCATTAGCAATAATACAAATGTCCATTAACAGGACATTAATAGGAGTCCAGCCCCGACCGGGGCAGGGTGCCCGCAAGGACGAGACAGTGTCGGCGAAGTGGAGGGAGATGAGGTAGATGAGGTAGTGAGGAGACACTGACACTTGATCAGGGTGCAGACATCTCCCGTTGGGCCTTTATTTATACATCAGAAATTGTTATTTGATCATTACATCATGCAATCATGTGATTTTACTTTTACATTGTTTCAGAATTTATTAATGATCATTAACAGTGCACAGTCCTTTTTTAATCTTCCCAGTCTATCATTAACTTGGTTACTTGGTTACATTAATTTGGTTACATTATTTTCCTAGGTGATGTATGTTATTCAGAAAATAGAAACAGGTGCTATACACAACGTGATTTACGCAGTCAAGCTAGGTAACTTAAAACAAGGCTAAGCAGGCATTTGTAAGATCGAGGGCAGCTTCCTATTTTCTATATAGAACCAAGGTGTCCCAGTACCACGGGAAGAGTATGTGGTGTGTTTCTCTCGGACCATTTCACCTCCCGGGGCGCCTCAGGGCCTTCTCTAGTGGGGACTTTTACCGGGCTCAGTTCCATCAGTTCTATCAAGCGTGGTTTGTTAGAGAACTCAATGTTACTCATGGTAACTGAATTACAAATTGGAGAACGTGGAGAAATATTGGAAATTGTTTCATTATCAATCATGTTGGAAGGTACATTTCTCAAACTACTGAAGTGTGCATACCGAAACTGGCATTGATGCCAACACTCATTGTGTTATTCTAAAGCTTACAGAAAATTTCCATGGTTTCAATAACTGCCACAAACAAATGAAAGGAAGTAGCAGGAGCCAGCTGTGGAGTTTCGTGACTTTTCAGAAACTTTCCTCATGCCCGGACCTGTCAGACAGCATGGGCTTCCTAACTTTTCAGGGGTTTTCCCTCATGCCTGGACCTTGTCAGACAGCATGAGTTTCCTGACTTGTCAGGAGTTTTCCCTCCTTCCCGGACCTTGTCAGACAGCATGAGTAGCATGGCCCACGCCAGAGGATGAACAAATTAATTTTCATATGATACAATACCACACAGCAGTAAAAGTAGACAACTATTACATGGGCAAATCTCAAAAACATACTGAGCATAGAAAAGCAAGTGGCATTTTTAAAAAAAGGTAAATGGATAGCAGAATGCCTATAGCAACATCCATGGTAGGTAAAATCCATGAAATCAGAACAGCCAGGTAGGAAAAAAATCCATGTATTAGTGGACTGGCGCAGTTCAAATTCATGTTGTTCAAGGTCAACTGTTTTCTATCTTTTTTAAAAAAGATTTACTTATGCATACAAGAACTAGGGTGTAGGCCAGAGGTGCGGAGGGTGAGAGGATTCACCCGTGACAGAGTGGGGAGCAAAACAGGTGGATCTTCTGAAATACACTGTTGAGGGGAGCAAAGAGAGAGACAGGTGAAGTCTGCTGTGCCATGTGGGTTAGCTCCCTGGCCGGGGATCAAACTCATGCTGCAGTGGCTGGTGATAGCTTGATAGCGCCGTGTCTTTAACCCCTGCACCATCAGGGAGGCCCTGTTTTCTATCTCTTAAGCAGGATCAGTGTGGCCTGGTATTGTCTGACCCTCAAGTTAAGAATGGATTTTATAGTATTTAATGGTTGGGAGGGGAGAATCAAAAGAGGAAGACAATTTCATGACACATGAAAATTAGATGACATTCAAATTTCAGTGTCCAGAAATAGTTTTATCAGCATAATTTCACACCCCTCCTTTTATGCATTATATGTGGCTACTTTCAGGTTGTAACAGAATTGAATAGTTAAGCCAGGGACTGTCTGAAATATTTCTGTAAAGCTGAAAATATTTACTCTCTGGCCCTTTATGAAATGTTAGAAAATGTTTGCGATCTTGTAGGTACATGTGTGTCCATTTTGCTATTTCTTAGTGCTTATATCTAATTTTGTTAGGTCTCATATCTCATATTGAATTTCGCCAAGTCATTTGGAGTTCTTAGGACACACCACGGCCTCTCTTTTCTTTGGACATTTGCACGTGCCATTTTTTAGGGGAGGATCCTTTCTTGCCTTGTCCAGGTTCTGGGGCCTCCAGTAGATGTTCATTTGGCAGTGATCTGTGTCTTTTTCTTGTCCTCTTCTCTTATGAGGATACTTGTCATTGGATTAAGGACACAACTGGGTAATCCAGGTTAATCCCATCTTGAGATCCTTTACTTAATACATCTGCAAAAACTCTATTTCCAATTAAGGTCACACACATTCTAGGGGTTAGAACATGGCTATATCTTCGTGGCAACCTTGATTCAACCCATTACACTTGTTTAGGTTAAAACTCACTGGTCTGTCTTGCACTGTGAATGGATCTCCTGTGAATGGATCGTGACTATAACATCATGTGCCTGTCATTTGGAAAATATTTGATCATTGAATTATGTGAAGTTGTCCCATTTCATCATTCAATATCAGAAAGCCACATTCCTTAAATCCTGCCATTTCATCAGGAAAGCCTTTAAGTGGTCAGGCTTACAGCTTTCCCAAAATTCTGATTTTTCTCTTGAAAGCTCAAATGTTATCTTTGGCAACAGAACTGACAGTTGTTTTCCTCGAAGTGACAGGCTCATTTTGTTCATTTTTGAGAAAATATCTGTCTTACAGCCAAGTCTGAAATCACAGTTTGTCAGACATTTCAAGTAAAAATGGTGTTCTCTGCAAGAGGTGCCAGTTTAACTCCAACATTTGTTCCAATGCTTTTCTTGGAGGTAACTGTTGAACCAATATACTCAGTAGGAGGGCTTTATGTTCACTTTCCATTTTGTCACACAGAATATTCCAAGGACAAGGGCTCACTTGTTATTGGGTGAGCTGTGTCCTTCTCTTCCCCTGCATATATGTGCAAAGTTCCGGGGGCAGTCCATAGTGTGGTTTTTTGAGAATGGAAAGGAAGTTATGACTGGAGTAGCTTGAGGAAGGGATAGACCCACTGGGCATCATAGGTCAGTTTTAAACACCTTGCTTTTGAACCTAAAAGTAAAAGCAAGTGTTCTGAATAGCTTAAAGCAAGGAATAACATGATCAGATTGACATTTTTCAAAGCTCTTTCTGGTTTTTTTTTTTTTTTTTCTCCAACAGACTCAGGTTGGGGGAGGTGCAGGAGTTGGCAGATGGTGGCAGCAGAGGAGCCAGAAGCTGGGGGCTGGGGAAGTAATTGGGATATATTTTGGAGACAGAATCATCCACATGACCACCTTCTCCATTTTTCCATATTGCTGCCATGTCTCTGATGGTCTTATCAATTTACCACTTAATTTACTCTACCCATAGTCACTCTATCCACTTTAGGGGGGATGGTTTCTGACCTGACGTGGAGTCGAGTGGCATTGACAATATCCATGCCTGGGAGCAACATTCTGAATTGTTCCTCCTATGGCTAAGGATGCCTGCTAGTTGAAGTTTTTGTGTTTCCATGGAGACAATGTGTCTTCCTCACTGGTACTCCTACATCCAAGTAGGTGTGATGGGCAGCAAAGTTTTGCTAAATGACAAGTTGGCCAACATGGACCGAAAAGGGAAACTATCTTTCATAATCACCTTCACGGTGTTATAACCACAAGTGCAAAACACCCTCTGGTATGGGTTGAAGTGTGTTCTGCCCAGTTTAATATGTTGAAACCCTAATCTCCAGCACCTGACAATGTGATCTTATTTGGCTATTAGGGTCTTTAACAAGGTGATCAAGTTCAGATGAGGTCATTATTGGACTGTAGTGCAATTTGTGTCTTTATAAAAAGGGGAAAGTAGGACACCCAGCCCCACACACAGGCAAGACAAGCAATGTGACCTTCTGTGAGTCAAGGGGAGAGACCTCCGCAGAAGCCAATCCTGATGACACCTTGATCTTGGACTTCCAGTCTCCAGAACCACAAGAGAATCAATTTCTGTTGCTTATGCCACCCAATCTGTGCCACTTTATTATGGCAGCCCCAGCAAACTACTCCACCCATCAAACAAAATCCCGGGAGGAATCTCTTCCTAAACTGTAATTTGGACCAAAACCTCCATGAGCTGAGTGAATGGCAGGGCCCGTCTGTCTGTGTGGATGAGTAAGTCGGCAGTCACACAATTTTCCTTTCTGAATATCGTTGTCTGTTTCCTAAAGAGACACACTTCTCCCCAAACCTTATAAAGGCAAAGGTTTTTGATTGTGCATTTTTCAGATTAAAAAAATGTTAAAAATAATAGTCTGGTTGCTCAAACTGCATATAGAGAAGTGTATAAAGTAAAAGGTTGGGGAACAGAGAAGGAAAGAGAAATAGAGACAGGGCAGAGGCGTGCGCGGGCGCGGGCGCGCGCGCGCGCACACACACACACACACTCACTCTCACACACACACTCACTCACTCACACACACCCCTCCTCTCACCCCCCCCCTTCCCAGAGGTAACGAATATGACTATGAAGTCTCCTTTTGTTACCGGAACCAGCCGTCTCAGTGGCGGGAGCCGGCAGGACAGCGACGCCCTTTTGACCCTGCTGCTCCCCCACGAGCCTGTTGTGGCCGTTGCTCCTCGGAGCTCAGTAACGGCCGTTTGTATTGGGCCAATCAGGTGCGAGCTGTGAGCTGATAGGTGCCAAATGGCCCAATCAGACTTGTGGGTGACAGGGGGTTGGAAGGAGCTAAAAAATCCCCCAAAGGAAAGGAGGTGGTGACCCAGAGCCCTGACAGAAGAGGACAAAGACGAAGACCAGGGCCCCCAAAGGAGACACGACGCCAGCCCCTGAAGAAAAGAAGACGGCTCCAGCCTCGGAGGAAAGAGGAGAAGCAGCATCCAGCAGCTCCCTCGAGGCGGGAAGAGAAGCCGAAGGACTGTCACAGGCTGGGCCTCGGTCCTGCCCCCGAAGTTGCCTGAGAGGAGCCCCGAACACCCTGGGCCTGGTGCCTCAAAGAGCTGTTCGTTGCTGGTGTAGCCCAACCACTCACAAAGAGCTGTTAACACTGGGGGGGTCTCTGACGCCGCCTCTGCGCGACCCGGAGTGGTCATCAATACTGACCGGTAATGTCCAGCACTCCGGGTGACCGGTGGCGACCATCACAACCTGGGTGAGGTGGCCGCCACCTGTGGGTACAGCGAGCTCTTTGTTTCCCCCGTTTGTAAATAACCCCTGGTGGTTGTTCCTGGAGCCTGAGGTCTCTTGCTATTGTGCACGAGGGTGAGAACCCACAGACAGGGACCTGTCCCCTTATTGGACACAGGCCTTTGTCAGTCTGTAGCTCTTGGTTTTTGGCCTTTTGGCCATTTGGGGCTTTTTGGTGGCTCTGGTCTCAGAGGCTGGGCAGGCGGGCGGCGGTTCCAGCCAGCCAGCCTCCTGCCCTGTGGCCACCTTGGTGGCCCTCTCCGCCCCTGTTTCACTTTCATTACGCACGTAGAAACACACAGGCAGAAAAAAACTTTTACCTATTTTTACCAAACTAGAATCATAGCACATGCTCCCATTGTATTCTTCCTTTTGTCACGTAATAACTATAACACGGACGTCCTTTTCTGGCTACCCAGTTCATGCACTTTAATGAGATTCTACTGAGGGGTGGGCTGTAATTTATTTATCTAACTTCCTATGAAAGATGCATAGCTTGTTTCTAATTAATTTCCCATATAGTAATTGATAATGGGTTTTCAAATTCCATCTGCCGCTTCCTGGTGGGTGTATTAATTCTTCATTACTGTGGAATAAATGTCCCCCCACAACACAACTGTTTAAAACAATTAACACCTATTATCTCACAACTTTCTGCAGCAGAAATTTGGGAACTTTTGTGGGTGGTTTAAACTAGAGGTTTTTCACGAGGTTGCAATCAGATATCTGCCAAGGATGCAGTCGTGGAAAATTTACTGGGATTAGAGGCTCTGTGAAAGGGTTCTTGGGCCCAGTTCCTGAGTGTGTATGGAAGCTTCCCAACACCTAGAAGCAATTTGGGGATATCAGCAGGATGTGCTACATTTCCATTCAATTCTGACACAGTCTATCTGGAGACGGTATCAGAATCCACAGGGAAGGGACTCATCCTCCCAAGACCTCCCTCCATTTCAGAGGCTGACCTCAAGCCCTGGGCGTCACCTGTTTCCCAGCTACAGACTGGAGGTTCCCATGACCCCCTCTCCTCCGGTTCAGTGAACTTGCTAGGACACTCACACAACTCATAAAACTCATTTACTTACCGGATCACTGATTTATTACAAAGGATACAACACAGAAAAAGCCAGAGGGGAGAGATGCATAGGGCAAGATATAGGGGAAGGGTTTGGAGTTCCATGTCCTCTCTACATGTGGTATTCTCCCAAATAGCCACTTGTCCACCAAATCAGAAACTCTCTGAATCCCATCCTTTTGGAATTTTTTTTAAAGATTTATTTATTTATGCATACAAGAACTGGGGCACAGGCCAGAGGTGTGGGGGGTGAGAGGATTCACCAGAGACAGAGTGGGGAACAGAACAGGCAGATAGACTGAAATACACAGCTGAGGGGAGCAGCGGGCGAGACAGGAGAGGTCTGCCTCGCCATGTGGCTGGCTGGGGATCGAACTCATGCTGCAGTGGCTGCGGACTGCTTCATAGGTTGCGTCTTAATCCCTTGCGCCACCAAGAAGGCCCCCCTTTTGGAATTTTATACAGGCTTTATTACATAGACCTGATTGATTAAATCAATGGTCATTGAACTCAATCTCTAGCCCCCTTTTGCTCCCCTACCCTGGAGTCATGGAGGTGGGTTCTCTCGATGACCATCCTGTGTCCTTAGCTGCTTCCAAAAGTCATCTCACTCACATAACTATAGAGACACTTTTATCAGTCTCAGCACTTAGGAAATTTCAAGGATTTGGGGAATTGTGAATTGAGAAATGTGTGGTTACTGAGGACCAGGGCCTCAGTTTCCCCATCTGTAAACTGGGAATGATAAAGATGGCAACACCCAGAGAGAAATTGGAGCTGGGTTAGGACTCAGGAGAAGTGCTCACTTTGGGCAAGACACTTGAGGGTGCCAAAAAAAATGAGATCAAGATTAAATTTTCCCCTATTAAATCCATTTTTAAATCAAGGTGAAATTCACACAACATAAAATTAACTGTTTTAAAGTGTACAATTCAGGGGCATTCAGGACATTCACAATGTTGTGCAACCACCACCTCTGTCTAATATTAGAATGTTCCATCACCCTAAGACACCCCATCCCTCTGAGTAGTCACTCCGTGTTCCCTCCCAGCCCTTCCAAACCCATGACAACCTTTCATCTGCTTTCTGTCTACATTTGACTGTTCTGGACATTTGATATGAGTGGATCACACACAGTGTGTAGACTTTTATGGCTGGTCTGTCACTCAGGTTCATCTATGTAGCATATGTCAGTGCTTCACTCCTTTTCATTGATAAGGACATTCCACTGTGTGTGTGGACCACATTTGTTTATACATTCATCCATTGATTGATGTTTGGATTGTTTCCACCTTTTGGTTAGTGTGAATAATGTTGCAATGAACATATATGTATAAGGACTTGTTTGAACACCCGTTTTTAATTCTTTTGCATCTGTACTTAAGAGTAGAATTGCCTGACCATAAGGTAATTTTGTATTTAATTTTTCAATGAACTGTAAAGCTATTTTCCCTGGGGATTGTATAATTTCCCATTTCCACCAACAGTGTAAGATGGTGTCAACTCCTCCACATCTCACCAAATCTTCTTATTTCCTACTTTTTTGGATATAACTATCTCAGTGGGTATGAGGTGATATCTCATTGCTATTTCAACTGGCAGATACATAATATTTTAAAGAAATAGTTTTCAAAAAACCCCAAATCAATGCAAAAAACCCCATGAGCAAAATATCAACACCTCAATTAAAAATGGGATCCAACTCTATTTGCGTGTTCATCTCACTACCTCATTTAATTAAAAATAGTGATATTTCATTCATTGTAGATTTTTGGTATAGATTGATTTTAAAATATTGCATAGATATATTATTTGCCTTTTACCACAATAAAAGTGGAGAATTAATTAATTGATTAGGTAATTAAGGCAGCTTCAGAACCGCCAGAGTCCACTCTACCTGCCACCTGCCCTGGATTCTGGAGGCTTCTGCACATTCATGCAGCAGCCCCTACAATGCCCTCCAGGGGGCGCTGCTAGCCCACGCATGCTCAGCCATGGCACCTTCCCAAACAAGAGTTTGAATGGGTTTATTAACTTCTCCCAGCCAGTACTCCTCTTCTATAATGTGGGGATGACTAGGTTAGGTAGAGCAGGTATGGAATTCCCTGATGTAAGATTCAGTCCTTACTCAACACAATAGTCACAACTGTTCTCTAAGAGGTCAGATGGAAAACTATTTTGCATTTTTACTTTAGAGAAATCCCAACAGTCACAAAAGTAGGCAGAATGATATAAATGACCCCTGGTTCCAGTGCCAACCTCCATCAGCCTCTGATCAACCTCACTTCGTCCTCTTCTCCATCTGGGATTATGATGTTGAAGCAAATACCGGTCATCCTATCACTGTTACCATACTATAAGTGTTTTGTTATGCATCTTGCAAAGATAAAGACTCTTTTGGAAAGCCTAACCACAATACCACTTAAAAACTTTTGCCAAGAATTCGCTAATACCTGCAGAATCCAATGTAGTCAACAAGCAGGGTTTGGCTCTGTCACTTCCTTAACAAAGGGGAGATTGGGCAAATTGTTGAACTTTTATTTTAATCATCAGTAACCAGGATAGCAAACTGAAGCCCCCAGGTTGCTGGGAGAATTGAAGACAGTATGTATATTAGCACCTGAAACTTAAGTGTCCTCAAAACACAGTAATATGAGTATAATAACTTGAATATAGAGCAGTGGCTCTCAATAGGGAGAGGGGACATTTAGCAATGTCTAGGGACACTTGTTTGTCGTTATTGGGAGCAACTATGCTATTTGTATCTAGGGGGTGGCTGTCAGGTATCCTGCTCAATATCTCACAGTACACAGGATGCTGTCTCCCAACAAAGAGTCCTCTGGCCCCTGATGTCAGTAATGCCAACACTGAAAAAACTTGACAGTGGAGGCTAGATTCCTGTCTCTGCCACTTGGCAGGTGAACTTGACAGTAGTAATAATCATAATTAATCACAACCAGTGTTTCGTGGGTCTTTCACATGACCCAGGCGAGGTGCTAGGCTCACTATATAAATGCGTTTCATTTTCTCACCAACCTAGGAAGTTGTGGAGAGAACACAAGCCTGGCACGGTCAAGTGGCCCACACAAAGGGTCTCATCTCTGGGACAGAATTATCAAACCTGCCTCTCGGGGTTACTGTGCAGACTCCTGACAATGATGGCAGACTCAGCAGGAGCATCTGCTCCAGGAGGTACAGCCACGTGTTGCTTAATAGCACCCCAGTCAGCGACAGGCCACCTAGATGACATCGGCCCTGCACTTTACATCTTGCCGGGTGTGTCGCAGGCTGTACTGCCTAGGTTTGTGTAATTACATTTCATGACATTCAAAGGACACAATCGCCTAACAACGCATTTCTCAGAATGAGTCCCTGTCGTTAAGTGACGCAGGACCCATTTGCCAAACACACAATGGTTAACTGCCAGTCTGGCTAAGTGCCCAGCTAAGCTGGGGCCTGAGAGCCAAACAATTTCTTTCATTAGCCCAGTTGCTGGGAGAATGGGGCAGGGAGACTGTGAAGTTCTAAAGACAAAAGTTATTCAGATTGCTGGGGGTTGTATTCCGGGCAGCACTGGGCCCAGAAAACTCTCTCCTCCAACCTACTTGCAAGAGGATTTTAATTGACACTTCCATCACTACCAAGAGTGAGAGGGAGCTCAGAGTCGCCAGGAAACCCAGAAACAGATGCAGCAAGGGCCTCTGTGGAAATCCACTCTCAGGTGTCTGCACTGCTACACAGGAGTTAAGAAAAATGGACAGTTGGGGATGAGCCCACTGAAATCATCATTATTTGCTCAGTACCTGCTATGTGCCAGGCACACCAACCTTGGCAGATGAGGTGCTG